TGAGTGGATGAGTGTGTGAGGTACAGAGAGAGAGAGAGAGATAAGGAAAATGGAGAAAATCTCACCCAATTCAATGAAACGGGACAAAAGCAGGTGATTGGGAGGAAGAACGAGCGTGTGTTCATACGTATGGGCCGTGCAAGCGGCGTGCACAAAGCGTGAGTCTTTGCACTTGCATGCAGAAGCGAAAACAGATGAAGGGGAAAATAAAAGTGCTGCATTTCCCAGCATGCAGCTGGTGCAGCGCTGCCCTCCGTTTTGCCCCCGGCCAACACCTGCTTCCATTTCGCTTCCTCCGCCCTCCTCACACCGAGAAGCGGTGATGAACTCTGGGCCCCCTGACTAATGGAATGGGCCCTCGCTCTCAACCATTAGAGGATTGGTGTCCCTTTTGGCACCCCTTAGTGCCCCCAATGTACAGAAATAAGTACGGCCGGGGCGAGCGAGGAGATAGTGGCAGGTTAGTCTTTTTTTTTCCTTTTGCTCAGCACACACACACACACACACAAACATCTGACTGTAATGTAACAGCCTGAAGTAATCCAGTCAGAATAAGGCTTTGACATAGCTTAGCATCTGACTGGGGCTACATTAAAAAACCTGAATCAGGTGCAACGCTAAGAGCGATCAGAGGGAGAGCTATGTGAATGTGTTCGACAGAGAGTCTCGGGTGATGCTGGAGTGTTTGTGTGATTTCATTTAGCTGGCACATCCAATGCTCTACCTCAATTACATCTTTACTGAGACGGAATACACACCTCGACGGTGCAGAGAAGAAGAAAAAAAAGGAAGGAGAGGAGAGGGGAGGGGATGGAGGGCGGATTGAGGTCTGAATCCCTCGATGAGCTGATCGCGTCCGCAGACAGTGAGCCAAGCTGCGGCGCGGTAATGTTATGTTAATGTTATGGTAATGACATGCTAATCTGCCGGCAGTATTCCACCACGACGGGAGGGCAGGGGAGGCCTTTCACCATTGGATGGAGACCAGGGACTTCCTGAAGTCAGAGTTCAAGACAAATCCTGCACAAACACACTCACACATCTATAGGCACACAAAAAAACAGGAGTTTGATTATTGTAACGCTGTGATTTCATCTTAAAATAAAAGCAATGACAACTGCACGTCTAATCTTCCTTTAATCGGATTTGCAGGCTCTTAAATAAGCACAGAAACAATACGTGGAAAAACAAACGACGCGGCTTAAAACGGGGTCGGCTGTAATGTGAGGAAGCTTTATCGACATGTAGCATCACGCCGCGGGGCTGTTGTTTTGTGCTGATATAACGGAAAACAGAAAAGCATCCGTTTCTGATTGTGATCAGGTTCCTTATTTGCTTTTGTTTTTTGGAATCCCTGGATCAGTTGATAGCTGCCATTACCTGTGCAGACAGAGTAATGTTTGTTTTTTACTGATGTGATGACAGCCCAACATAACAGCAGCCATGTCTGAGGATGAGACTGATTAACATACGGTCATATATCACGTTACTATAATTTACTGCTCCACATCCTTTTGGGAATACGGTTATCCACCGTTTAATATAAAGGATTCCTTGACAAATGTTTGAGAAAAAAAAGCTATTTTTCTTTTAAATGCGTGAAGATAACAGAAAAGGCTTCATTCTGTCATCAGGAAACAAAAACGCACAACAATGCATCACAGTAAGCCATGTCCACGTAGCAGGAACACGTCGTCTCTGGTCTTATCCCTGCTTTTTTTTCTTTTTTTTGCGTCTTTTAGTTAGAAAATGAATACGTCAAATCTGCACAACAGCGACACGTAATGACATTTTCCTGGATGCGGTACGCTAGATCAAAGAGACCATCAATATGTTGAGTGCCAGCATGGAGACATTTGATTCCCATTCCAGTCCTGCGGCATTAGTGCAGGAATGCCAACACACATCACCCTCCTCTCAAGCTGGCGCTTGGCTTGTCAGACTTTTTTCTCTTCCACTTCGACGTTTTTAAAACTACTTCATATATCAGAGCAAACTGTGAAGCCTGGAGATTTCCTTCACATACATGATATTTGCTGTGAGAAGAGGAGGAAATCACAGGTGACACAATTAAAATAGGTTTGACTTAACAAAGGCAATTTGGTGTCACTGACATTTAGGATCAGCCTCTGGCGACAGGCATGTAAAGGAAGCCAGTCAGCAGATTGGACCTGGAGAGAGGGAGGGGTGGGTCATAAAAATGGAGGACTGTCTGTGGCTCATCAGTGGATATTTTGGTGTTGGGTTAGAAATTAGTGCTAAACTGTAAATTCACATTGTAAATGGCTCCGCTGGATCTTATCACTCAGAAAACAAAATTAAAAAAGTAAAGATAACAGAAACTATCATTATTTTATTGATTATTACTAAGCTTCAATTTGGGAACAAAATGGTTAAAAAAAACACCATGAGATAAAGATGGAGGTTTTGTGAGCACACATGTGGGACAATAAGAGCGAGAGGGGCGGGTGAGGGGGTCATAAAAATGGAGGACTGTCTGTGGCTCATCAGTGGGTATTTTGGTGTTGGGTTAAGAGCAGATTATACTTCTGCAACCACACACATCAAATGTCGCTTGGGTCTGGTCGCGAATCAGTTTAACTGGTATGCTTCTGCGCCGTCAGTCTGGAATTTCTGGGGTGTCACAGCAGTTTCCCCCCAAACTGCAAGGGGGAGCCTATTTGAGGACTCGCAAGAACTTTGGCGGATAGTCATGAGAACTTCAATGGAGCATCTGCAAGATATCAGGGTCACGGAGATGGATCTAGAGTTGCTAGAAATCGAAGAGGAACAGGTTCTGCTAATGGAGCTGGCAAAAGGACAATGGAGGACGCATAGGTTGTCCATTGTAGTTGTTCCTCGGTTTTTAAAAATGGCGTGCCCCGGCACCAAATCGAGAAGGACGACCACACAGACAGCCGGAAAGGCATAGCAAGGACCAATCACAACTGTTTTTTGTCTGCGCGGCTCTGCGACCGTCCGACACGTAGTTTTTTTTTAGGTGTGTGACGACGGTTGCAGAGCCTTTGCTTGGGGGGACGTGGTCGCGCACAGAGACAGATTTGACGGTTGCAGAGGCTTTGTGTCAGAAGCATAAATTGGCCTTTAGAAATGAATGCACCTCACAGATGTACAAACTGTAAATTCACATTGTAAATGGCACCGCTGCATCTTATAACTCCAAAAACAGGATAAAAGAAGTGAAGCTAACAAGAATTATCATTATTTTATTGATTATTACTAAAAAGCTACAGTTTAGGAACAAAATGCTTAAAAAAAACACCATGAGATAAAGCTGGAGTGTTTGTGAGCCCGCATGTGGGACAATGGGAGCGAGAGAGACGTGCAAAGAGGAAGACACAGGGGTGGACTGTCCAATACACTCCTGATAAAGGTCAAAGTCATGTTTTATTCATGATCCAGGCGGCGGCGGCAGAGCAGCAGGGCCAAGGTTACAAAGAGCTGCCGCCCCCTTCTCCCCAGAGGAAAAGCAGCGCTCAGACCCCCCCGCCCCCCACCTCTGGCTGACGGACAATCCCAATAACTTAAATCAATACTGTCAAAAAGCACACGTACCTTCCAGCAGCTCAAATCAATAAGTCAAATCTGAAAATGGATGAAAGGCTGGAATAAAATGAAAGCTACGCTAAACTCTTAAGAGATGAGATCTAATACAGAGACTTTAGAGGAAAGCTTTTGGATTTTATGAATACTAGGTGCACATGATACATCAACAATATCGATATCGTACTGTATATAAATATAAAGGTACTGTATGCCTTTATAAATGTTTTTAATCAAAGCAGACAGCAATAGTTTAAAATTATATATTTTCAAAGGGACCTTTCTCTGGCATCTCAATAAAAGGACCATAAACTGGTGGGAAAGTTTGCTCTAAAATGTTTGCTATCTTTTAAAAACAACATTTTACTCCCATTTAACCATAAGTACTAGCTGTTGACAAGCTTAACATAGCTTCCCTGCTGTAGTTTTAAAGCAACGTTATCTTAATAAGAGATATGAGTGTCTTTGTTTTAGAAACATTTCCCATACAGATAAATGTATCTTTCTTATGACTGAAGGGAAGCTGCTGTAGCCGTCTTTAAGCCAGCTTTCCAGCAGTACGCAGCCACAGATGCAGGAGAGGAAGCAGTGTATTCCCAGACTACACAGTGTATTCCCAGATGCTTTTTAAGAAAAAATAATATTTCTCTTTAACCTAAAACTAAGATGTATGCTTTGTTTTTTAAAGTAATGGAGTGATTTGATGGGCTTTTAAAATATCATGCAATATTTTTGATTTGCTTGGTATTTTTGATCAAATAAAGGTTCCGACATTCCTGAATGTAACAGAACAAAAAGAGAACACCTGTGATTTTGTCACACATCTTATTTCTCAGATCATTCCAGGAACCTTTTCAGGAAGAGATTTAATTCACATCTATGAGTCTCATAGCCTTAAAGTCCTTCCTCTGTCACACAATAGGAATTCAACCTCACCAAAACCTGCTTTTAGGCCTGTTTTTTGTCTTTTTCCAAAGTAACATTTGGAGAATTTGAAAAAATTTTGCGAAAAAGATGAAAACTTTGTTGAAGAGTTAAAGATGCAATCATTTCCAGTGGCATCGAGTTAATTCCTACACCACAAAAGTTCCTCACAGCAGAAATGACTTGGCTGCAGATATTTTGTGTATTTGTGTAAGACATGTGTCATTGTGGGAAACATTGTATGTCTTCCCCTATGTGTAGGCGTGTGTGTGGGGCGGGGTGTGAGTGTATTACTCTATAAAGGCACTTCTCTGAGCGTCTTTGATCAGATATGAAATATTCTGAAATGCTGCTGTAATTTGATGAAAGTCAGATATCACTCAAGTAGGAGATAGAAGTCAGCACTTTGGCAGCTCTTGAAAAGAAGAAAAAAACACACACACACCAGAAGGGGTTTGCAACTGCAGCCCCATAGGTGGAGGTAATAAAAGGAGATTTAAACAAGCTCTGACCCGCTGAATGAACTCCAGCCCATGTTGCTCGGCCAGAGAGCGGGCAGCTTTGGAGCCTCCTTTCATTTGGACAGCATAGAAGACCTGGCGCTTGGTCCCATGATGCCCCTCTGTGGTGGCAAGGCTCCTCTGCAGTAGGAAGCAGCACACCAGCAAGGACGCACTGAACATGAAGCCTTCAAAGGAGAAAAAAAACTTTTTTTGAAATACATTTTTTGTTATAAACATTTAAGCATACTAAATAAATTAGAAAACATTAGTTTCTTTTATAAATCATCAGATTAAATTTGAAGCTCTTTCGGACATATACATATGAACACTTCATAATTCTTTGCAATAATCTATCAATATGCACTTTTCTGCAATCAGCATGTTTTCTAATAATAAATATTAAACACAAATGTTTACTGTTTACAGGATACACTCCCTTCCTTCTTTCTGCATACACCGAAAAAAAATTATGCAACCGTTTTCTGGCTTTTGCTTAATCATATTTACTTACTTTAACACAATTGTTTATGTTAGCAGGGTAGGACATAAGACAATTGTGTTAAAGTAACTAAATATGATTAAGTTAAAGCCAAATGCGGCTGCATTATTTTTTCAGTGTAAGGTCCTGACGAAAAAATACGTTTAAAATGTTAATTTTTATAACAACCTCCAACAGTTATTAGTCGAATTCAAACACCATCGCTAAGCACAGAAATGAGCTTTAAGAGTGGGATCCAGCAGACTAATGAACATTGGCAGTTGTGAAGCAGTTTGCCCACAGCCACCTCCTCTGTACTTTTACATAAAATCCACTGTGGCTGCCACCTACAAGATGCGAGCCACCCACCTGTAGCCACACAGACCAAAAACGTCCAGGAGAAATCTCTCACCCTGCGTGATGAAAGCGGGAACTCTGGCATCGGAGGGGCCCCGAGCGAGACAACACGCTCTCTCCAGTTCCCAACCCACACGTTTAATCTGCTGGCCTTGATGCAAATACTTCTGAGAGGATGAAAAAAAAAAAAAAAGAAGAAAACTGCTGCACTGAGCGAACTAACTTCCCTGTTTAAGCAAAACAGGAACTTCACCAGCCTTATTTTTATGCTGGTATTTTCCTCTGAACAATGATGGAACAAAAAATGTGTTACCTCACTCTTATCTGCTAAAACTAGTCAAGAAAATTACTGTAAACCGATGGCCGAGACGTGAAACCCTTAAACTTCCACTAACTTCACAGCGTCATGCAGAATATTAGATAGGAAGAAGCAGTGACTAATCTAACAAACCTCTGTCCTGCTGATGCATCCTTTAAATGATGGCAGATGAGTTTACACCTCTTAAACTGTTTCATAGCTTTAATACCATCTGGACTTAAATTGGGTGGTTTTGACAGACGTCTGTTTAATACCTCTGTCCTGCTGGAATGGGAACTCCACCCCAGTCTCAACTCTTCTGCAGCTAATAAGTTTTCTCATCTGTGTTTTGCTCCATCTGTTTGTTTCCAATCAGCCTCTCTATCCCGACTTGAGAACAGCATCCCCACGGCATGATGCTCCAAACTCTGCCATACAGCTTTGTTTCATCTGAAGCGTTTGGCATGTAGGCCAAAAGGTTACATTTTAGTGTCTTCTGGTGTTTCCTAAGTCACTTTATATGGATTTTGGGAAACATTAAACAAATCTCTTTATTGTTTTATTTCTACAGCAGATGTCACGGATTAGTGGAGCGCAGTCCGGATCCGGATCCACCTACTGGCTAATCCAGACCAACCCGATTTAAAACATTTATAAATTACTGCATGTTGTCTGACGGCAGTGTCTAACTTCACTTGCGGCACTTCTCCTGTTTGTAGATTGTTCGTCACCAGGCTGCATGTGATACAAATGATCCAATGAGCTGCTGTCAGTCTGGGTTGCTGCTGCTGCTACTTTTAGACACAGCAGGCAAACCTGTGGCAAGCTGGGCGATGGGAAAAACAAGAGAGCAGAGAAAGTGTGGACTGCTGGAAGAACTGAGGTGAAGTGGTGAAAGAAAGTCAAATGTCATGCTCAAAGATGACTCTGCACATTTAGAGGATGTTTGGCTCAACCTGCTGCTGTGAAGCAGGATTCTCCAACATGAACAGAATCAAAAGTAAATATCAATCTAGGCTCAAAATGAGCACCTTGATATGGGCAGCCTAAAGCCCACTGCTCTCATTAGGCCATAACAAAGAAAAAAACAATCAAACAAACGGTCAGTTCTGGTGTTTTATAAAATATGTAAATCAGGAAATTGTCTATATACCAATCTGAACGATTGTTCTCTACTTCAAAAAACACTTTAGTTTTTAAAATGGAAAAAAAATTACATAGTTTTTTATTTAAAAATCTAATGTATAACATGGATGCATAAAAACCTAATTTAATTTTAGTGTTAAATTCTGTTTAAAGTAACAGATTATAATTAAAATGTCTCCGGAGCTTTACTGGTTGTTGATTTTCTTTATTCGGACCCCGTTCATTTTTAAATGGTTACCCTGCTATACAGCAATTCTTTTTACTCCTTATGACCATAGAGGTTAAGTTTGAGTTGCGCTAGCTAATACACCCACCTGAGCTACACCTCTCTGCAGCTCCTCTAGAGTTAGACTTTGACAGACTTTATTGCAATTTTGTACACACAGAGTGTATACAAAACAATATTTTTTTCAGTACACCTCTCAAGACTTTTTCATTTCTAAAGTGCAGCAGTGATAAAATTTAAACATGGTGATCAATGAAAACAAAAGACTGGCAAATGATTTACATTTTTCTAACACTCAGTGATGTTTTTATTTTTATTTTTACTATGGGCCTCCTGGGTATTATTATTATCAATGCTCTAATTTATGGTTTACATTGTGGGACATCCTCAGGTCTTAAGAAAAACAAAAAGCTAATGGATAGCAGGTTGGTTTTGTGAAAAAAGTTTTCATTTCATAGGAAAAAAAGCTGTCAGGTCTCAGGGAAAACCACTAATACGTCTTAGGTTTAACAATATTACAATTGTCAGGTCTTAGGAAAAAAAATCCCTGGTCTCGGGTCCTAGGAAAAAGGTTTGCAAGTCTAAGGATAAAAATAAATCTCAGATCTTTTGAAAAAGGAAACAGGCTGTCAGGTTCATATGAAGATGTTGTCAGATGTCAGGAATAAAGTTCTCAGGTCTCAGGAAAAGTGTTGTCAGGTCTTTGGACAAAGATTCTCAGGTCTAAGAAAACAAGCTGTCAGGTCTTATGAAAAACATTGTGAGGTTTCAGGGATAGTTGTGCAATTTCTTTGTGTCATTTAACCTGTTCAACCATTTCTTTTTTATTGTGATATTTTCAGAAAGTATTTATCCAAGAAATTGGGATGAATTGGTGGCTTACATAAATATATTTTTTTTGACTACTTCTAACAATTAGAAATGGATTGACATCCCCAAAAAATGTGATAGTTAGCCACCCAGATTCTATATTAGCGCTATATTTCTATAGCGCTAATTCACAACACGTCATCTCAAGGCACTTTACAGTTCACCAGATCATCCAGTCAAATTGATTCAAACTTTTCTATCTAAGGAAAACCAGTTGATTACATCAACTCATTGACTCAAATGCAATCTCCCTCACACTAAGGACGCTTGTAGTGACAGTGGAGAGGAAAAACTCCCTTTTAACAGGAAGAAACCTCCAGCAGAACCAGGCTCAGTGTGAGCGGCCATCTGCTGAGGCCGACTGGGGTTCAAGGAGATAGAAGCAGAGATACAAAAGGCAGCTGTAAAAGGCAGCCCCGTCCAGTAAACACACAGCCAGCCAGCTCCCATGTCAGAATATGAAGAGAGCACATCCAGTCAGTCACAGTCAGAGAAACAGGACTACACAATACCAGCTCTGCAATATGTTCTTTTAGGGTTAATGAAGAACGTTATGATGTCCCTCCATGAAAACTCCATTGTCTTGGACTAGTGGCAGTTGTGTTGATTTTATAGATATTTAGTTATTCATCTTCTTTCCACATTACATTTGCTTCCTTCTTTAATGTGACCTTGCATAAGCCACAATGATAGATTTCTACACGGCATCAATCTATTAAGAATCCTGTAAGAGGAATTGCAAAAAGGGATGCACATTCAGTACAATTCTTAGAGTTGACTGGGTACCTGCCTCCTGTGTCGAGCTTTTATCCAATCGTAGCAGCATTAGCAGCTGTAATGAATAACATTTTTGATTTGTTTCCAAACTAGCGGAGTTAACTGATCAATCAAAACACGCAGACATCTTTCCCATTCAAAAAGGTACAAAAAACGTTCTTTTGCTTGTTTTTCAAAGATAAATAGTGGGTATTTCAACTAAAATGGACACAGCCATCTTCTGGCAAGATGCATGTACAGGAAAGTCACAAATCTTGCAACAATTCATCTTGTTGCACGATAATCTCCCATGTACTTTTAATAATGCTGTTTTTTTCAGGTTCATCCACATAAAAATTGTTTTGACATCAGTCTAACTCATTTTTGGGGGCATTACTTTTGGTTTATATTATTTTCTCTTCCTCCAATCATGCAGCAAAAATGATACAATGAAAAAGAATGTTAAACAAGTGTAAATTATTTTTAAAGAGAAAAATAGATTTAAAAATCAATGGATGGAAAAACATTAACAATGGACGGCAGATAAAGGGAGTGGCAATCCATGTGTTTAACATGATCTGTAGACATGGCAACTAAGTGTGCAATGAATCAGATAAACAAAAAAAAACAAAAAACCCAAAAAATTGGCCTAAAATATCGGCCAGCTGATGTATCTTTATGCATCTCTATTATAGATATGAAAAAGTTTACGTTTTTTTGTAGGATTCTAGGCATGAATGTGTATCTCACCTTTGCAGGCATCACAAAAGATTTTGCAATAGGTTTTTAATCGAATGTCTACTGAATTCATGTTCACCCTTATATATTTTTATCCTCAATAAATGTTGAAAATGTATAAATGAAATAAGCCCTCATCAAGAAATTCAAAGATGTCAAGATGTGTTTCAACATTTTAACATCAGAAACCTTTTCAGGTTCATGTCGATTACTTCACTGTTCCCCGTTTTTACATTGTGATGCCCAAAAAACACACAAACACAGAGCAAAAACTCCAAAGTCAGAAGATTAAGACGTCTCTTTGTCAAAGTAATTCTGTCTGTGTCTTTATCTGACTTCGCATCAGAAGCAAAGAGCCCCCTCCTGCGGCATTTCTCCACCAAACAACAAACAACATAGCTGACCACTGTTTAAAGTCTACAGCATCACTCAGCTCCTATCTCCCAGGCCTCTGATTGAAATCGATAGCCTCACTAGGGGCTCAAGTCCCGGTCAATCCAATGTTTGTGTGTGTTGTGTGTAAGGGGGGGGATACCACCAGCATACACATTACCCAGCCAGTAGCTGGCCTCTGGCAGAGACAAAGTAGACAGGGAGAGAGGGAGGCAACACAAGTACAGCGAAACCACACTGAACAATGTCAGGGCCCCGGGGCCTACTGGGACTCTGATAAAGTACCTGGACATTTTTATAGACAAACTACTTATTTCCGTCCTCATATTGCTTGGGAAGACAGATAACTTTATATTCCTCTCAGGCAGGGGAATGAAAGAGGAAGGGGGGCCCTTTCAGGAGTTTAATTGATCAAACTAAAGCCACAAGGGGTTTTGTTTAAGATAAAACAGACTAGCAGTCTCCCCTGTACAATACAGAGATCTTTCAGAGAGCAGAGCCATCAAAAAAAAAGATGTAACTCATTATGCAAAGTCATTACCAGCCTCCTCTATAGTTCTTAAAAGAGGAGGAGTTAATGGTGAAACTGTGCTGTCAAGGGTGTTCAAAAGGTCACTAAAGTGGTCCTACGATAACATACATTACGATGTCCACATTATCATTATTCCTAGCATTTTTTTGAAGTTTTAAGGTCATGTTTAAAAGTCACGTCTACTTTAGAGCCTCACACTGGAAAGTAA